GTTTTCTTTTACCTCTTACACTTACAGCACTAAATACAGGTGCATTGGAAAGGCACTTGTAACTTGTGGTGATGTAAAACAGAACCAGACCTGAACGTCTTCCTTTAATTTTCCAGGCGTTACATTAGGCACTTCGGCCCACCGACTTTGCTCCCACAGAGCTCAGACTTGCTGCCTCTGTTTGTAGTGAACAATGGCATATTCTTGAGTGGCTCAGAGGCCATCAACACCTTTACTCGCAGAGTATGGTACTACTCATAAGCAACTGGCAGGCCCTGCTCCTGAATTAGTATCAGAGGTTTGTGTTTCCTAGATTGCACTGTTCATGCAGGGACAGCAGTGTTTGGATTTGAGAGGAGATGTCTTCAGAAAAGTCTGCTCTGAGAAATTAGATCTGTTCAGGGGAAGCCCAGAGATGGAAGAAGAAAGGATGTGAGGCTTCCAGGACTATGCTTGGATTTAAGTGAGACCCTGTGGTGATTTCTGTTAAAAAGGGACAGATCATTGGAATAGGCTGCCCAGGGAAATGGTGGAGTGACCATCCCTGGAGGTATTCAAAAGATGTGTAGATGTTGCACTTCAGGACATGGTTTAGCAGGCATGGTGGTGTTGGGTTGACAGTTGGACTTGATGACCTTGGAGGTCTTTTCCAACCTTAATGATTCTATGAATCTAATTTGACAAGTGAATCAAATACAAGCAAGCAATCCCTCTCCTGTCACCAAATGATCCTAAGGTTCGGTGGGTGACATGTATTAGCCTTTTTCTGTGATGAAATATCACAGAAGTATCTCCTTAAGATGCATTTCAGTGCATCTGGATGTCTAACACGTCTTAAGAATATTTTGCAGTATTATAATAACTCTGTCCCCCACAAATATGCAACAGGCTGTATCTGTGTTATATCGGTATCTACAGGCCTCAACTGAGTTTGGGACTGCGTTGCCAAGTACTACTGAAACAAATCCTGGCCTTCAAGACCATTTCCATAAGGAATAGAAAGGAAAACAACCCCAAAAGTGGTGAGTAACTTGCTGAAGTTTGTCAGTCAACCAGTGACACCGTCATGAGTACAAAACAGATATTCTTGAGCTCAAGCCATTAGAACTCTACCTATGGAGAGTTCCTCCGTATTTGTGGTTCCAGGTCACATCATGGTTTGGTATTTCTGCAGAAACATTGAGAGCTTCTGGACAAGCATAAGAGGCTTCGTGTTCCAGGAGAGTGATGGGAGCAGGAGTGCAGCTCCCAGATGAGTGCTTTTCCGAAAGGCAGTCACTCAAGGACCAAAACTGGGGGGTTGGGGTTGCCTTGTGTGTAAATATATTATGCAAAATATGTACTTTAAAACAATAGCTACAAATGCCTACATTGCCTGGAGCCGGTTTTCTGTTGTCTTGAGTGACCTCTCATCTGAAGCATGGGCTGAAGCCAGGCGAAGGCTGAAGTGTGTGTGGCACGTAGAGATGGGAACGAGGGCTGGCAAGTGCCATTGTTCTCCTCTTTGCCTCCCAGTGAACAGCGTTTAATTCTGTTTTCGGTTGTCAGAAGAGATTAGATATCTAAATTCTGGTATCATTAAGTGGTCTGTCTGATCACTTTGGTGCAGAAAACGCGTTTCACAGAAGAAACTGTCAGATGTATGATTAAGCCATTTGTGTATTACCACGGTGGTATAGCACATGTTTACGGAAAGTCAGCGTTTGAAAAAAGCACTCGAACAACACAAAAATAATTAAATTAACAAGAGTCTTGGGGATAAAGGATTAATTTTCCCAGCAGGATGCCAGCGGGGATGAAGGCTGGGTTACCAGCTCTATGTAAGAGAGGTCTTTCTAGCAGAGCAGCCACACTCAGAGCTGTCCTCAGGAAGGCCCTCTGCAGGGGAACAGGACCCAAACAAAAATGTTGCTCAAAGACACATGAAAACTGAAGTGTGAATGATGGGAGGAAACCAAACAGAAAAACAATATCACAAAAGGGGGAGAAAAAGAATGAGCTATTATTTTAAATGCTTACCAGCAGAGAAAACTTCTGTTAGCTTTTGGCAGAACAAAAGGACATTGCAAAGAAAGTCAGAAAAGTGCTGCTTTGCGAAACACTTTACAGTCAGCTCTTAAATCATAGGTGTGCATAGCCTCCAGAGGCTTGAGCAGAGGGATATGAAAATATCCACTGTGTTTTTCTCCCAGAGACAAGGGAAATATATTTTTTCCTTATAAAAATAAGGGACAATGAAAGAAATTTCTCAGCAGCATTGTGCCCCCAGGTGTGCTGCCCTGGGGCAGGCTGGTGTCCCCGCGGCGGGGGCAGAAGCCACCAGCCCCACGGAGGAACTCAACACGAGGAGAGCCTGTGTCTCCTCTTCATCACCACCGACTGCAGTCGTTGCCTGTAGGAGGTTTAAAGCACACACGTTGCTCCTGCTCTCCAAAAATGCCCTGGGGCAGGGCAGAAGGAAGATGTGCTCCTTTCCTACCTGCATTCCCTTTCCATGCAGCGTGTCCAAGGCCTGTGACAGAGAGGATGGGCTTGGTCCTGCAAGGCATCCGGCACCTCAAGGCTCCCTCTGCTCAGGGGCACAGGGCTGTGGGTCCCCTCAGCCTGCAGGCCAGCTCCCACCTCTGCCCAGCAGCAGTTCTCCCACCCTGATCTCTGGCTCCTTGCAGCAGGTATCCGGCCCCGGGAACCACGGTGGCAATACTAATAGTCCATCTGGTGCAAATACTAAGCAAGAGAAGACAACTACAGGGAATAGTCCTGTTCTGACAGGAGGGTTAGGCAGGAGGGGTGGAGAAGTCTGCGCAAACCCTGTTCTGGTCTGAAGAGTGAGGCAGAGCTTGGTCCCGGCTCCCTCCCCAGGCTCAGCAATAGATGGAGGAAACAGCAGCTGTGGACACTGGCACCCACGGGCTATTTGCTGTCTCATCTCTTGTGATGCTTTGGGGGGTAAAAAGCACAAAGAATTGTCAAGAAGGGTCTGCTGAGGCAGGGAGCGCTGGGGAGCGTGGCCGCTGCTCACACACAGCATCCATTCCCTGGGGAAGAGGCCATTCCCTCCCTCCCGGCATCCTCGTTGCCTCCAGCCTTTCTGTCCCTGACTTCACACCCAGCAACCCCCTTCCCAGTGTGTTTCCATATGGAGGATTTAAATAAGGAAACAAAAAGAAAATAAGTTTGTCGTGCTGATGTGAAACTCACAGCCCATGCAGTGACAATTCTGCTTGCGCCTTGCTTCGTCCCTCCCTTACCTTTGCCTGCACGTGGCAAAGGGCCCAGCTCTCCTGTGCAGGGGTGCAACAGGACCCAGCCTCAGCTGGCTGCTCTACCCTACAGTCATAAAGACAATTAATAATACAAGGAAAGAAGGGAGGGTTCGCCCAGAAGGAGGAAGCCAGCGTGTGCAGGACTTGGTGAGCAACATCACAGAGACTTGTTTCTGCAAACAGTAAGTTACAGGCTAGCATAGCTCTGTGTTTTACATAAATTTTATAGTGTTTTGGAGAAAATTTTTTACAATCAATCAGGTTACTCCAGCAGCAGGTGGTATGCTTAGTATGTGCAGTCTGCTCTTTTTCTTTCCAGCTACCCAGCATAATTCTTAGCAGGATTTAACGCTCTAAAGGGTAACTAAAACTATCAGCACCCATAGGGATGTCTCTTCTTATTGGGGTTGATGGCATTTTTTGGAAAACTCCTGACTATGTTCTGAAATTAAGAAGAGACATCCTGTGTTTTTGTGAAAATTCAATAATACCTCTGTATGATTTCCTAATATGAGTATCTGAAAACATTCTCTGTAGACAAAATGTACTGCCAGTGTTGGAGAAAATTTTCTTTCAACACAGAACTTTTTATTTGTTGTAATTTTTGTCATACATCACCATCTCAAGTCTTTTTATGAATAACAGTCGAGTGGGTTTGAGTGGACAAGTTTTATTTTGAAAAGAGCTCTGGATTTGCAAGAGAAAAAAATCCTAATGGAGCTGCAATTGTTTTAACAAAGTACATTTAAAGAAAAACCCTGATGGCTGAAGATTAATCACCTGACAGTGAGGAGAGTATCGCTTAAGGAAGGAACGCAGACATCGTGTTTGTGAGTGCTACCTGAAGACACTTCCATCTCCACATACTTTGCACTGCCTCCATGCCATGGCATACTGCTCCCAGCCTTGTGCCGGCACGAGTATCCTCTTGTTGCATTATGGTTCTGAGAGCTAAGCTGGCTTTTAGATGAAAAATAATGGGCTGAGTTATTTTCCTGGCAAAGGAGTCCCCTGCTCTGGTTTAAAGTGTGGCAACAGCAAGGGCAGTGCCGGCAGAGCGAGGGCACATGTGCTATGGCATGGAGGCAGGAAGAAGCAGCTGCAGAAGTCCTATAAATCATAGAATCATAGAATCATAGACTGATTTGGGTTGGAAAGGACCTTTAGAGGCCATCTAGCCCAACCCCCCTGCAGTCAACAGGGACATCTTCAACTAGACCAGGTTGCTCAGAGTGCCATACAGCCTGGCCTTGAATGTTTCCAGGGATGGGGCCTCCACTGCCTCTCTGGGCAACCCCTTCCAGTGTTTCACCACCCTTATCATAAAAAATTTCATCCTTATATCTAGTCTAAATCTACCCTCCCTTAGTTTAAAGCCATTACTCCTTGTCCTGGAGTGGCTGCTTTAGAATTTCTCTGAAGTCATGGGCTTACTTTCTACTTTTCTGCATCAGTTTTTAGCCAATGCTTTTGCTCTGATGTCAATGTAGTTATATATCCATTTTTCATAGGCAGAACTCCACTGACAAGCAAACATGTTGTTTGAGAAGTCCCTTTGCCCACAACTATCTGCAGTTTCCCCTGTAATTAAAAACAAGAACTTCAGATCCAAATTACCTTCTTGCCTGTTACAACCCAGGTTATCATTTGTACAACTATAGTCATATCTAACATTAAAACTAGGAATTGAAAAAAGTCCTGTAAAAACAGAACACAGAGTCCATATTTCAGTCATTAAAAAACAAAAGGAATCAAGGCTTTCCTTGATTTTGGATAGTCCGTAAATGTCTTGAGATAGTACCTGAAAGAAAATAAGCAAGAGAGTGAACCTGCATACATACAAAGAAACGACACAGTTTCAATACAGCTCAGCTAAGGAACCTTTAAGCTCCTCCAGACTGTCTTGCTTTGTAACATCTGTGTGTTACTCCACAAAAGAGCATTCCGAAACTATTTACATAAGATTAATTGCGTGAAAGCTGATAATACCACTAAGTTTCTAACAGACCTAAAGTAGAAACTTCAGGAATTCAGAGCAGGGGACCGTATCTACTCCAAAGGACTGCAGAGGTTGCAAGGGAACCCTTAGGAAAAATTCACATTTAAAAGGCTCAGTAAAAAGAGGTTATAACACAGCAGAAGCAGTGATGTAACGCCTGCTGGATTAAATGACTATCACTAGGCCCACTTGACTGAAAGGGCGCTCCAGCTGACTGCCTTACTTTCACCCAGCCACAAATAAGCCAATACACTTCTTGTACATAGTATTAAATTTCAATTTAATCTTGAATCCTCGTCCTGCTCCTCTGCCCCTCCCTGGCATTTTGCAAACTGTACTCCGAGAGCAAGCAGCCGCATACAGCAAGAAACAGTTTGATACCTGTGATGGTGATAAGCACGTGGCCCGATGCAGCAAAGAGTAAAAAAGGCAAAGGCGAAGGCCGGTAGCGACCAGGTTGCTATGGCAAAACCAAACCATTCCACAATTTCTCCGAAGTAGTTGGCTCCAGAAACATACGTGAACAGTCCCCCTGCATCAACAGACAAAATATGGAATTTTTACAGTCATCTCACGTACATGGAAAGTTCTATCCCATAAAGTCAGCAGCAGAATATGCTACCTTTCTTATTCAGAGCCCATAGCAGGAACCTAAACCCTCTGCCTGAAGCCAGTGGAGCCATGCCAAAGGAGGATCTTGAACAAGACTCTTCTACAAGTACTAGAATCTAAGATGATTCTAACCCAAAGGCTTCCAGCACTTTCACCATCATTTATTTTCATTTGGAAAAGGACTTCAGAACACCCATTATTAGGTTTAAATTAAAATTATTAACATTAGTAAATTCTCTTCAGGCCCTGAAAAGCATTTTGCAACTCCGTGACATTTGGGGAATGCAAAATCTGGATCTCAGTTTTGCATCTTAGCTAATCACAACGTCTACAAGAGGCAGGCAAATAGTGGAGGTGAGAAATTCCAGGGGAAAGATATTACAATCCGTAACAAGCCAGCAGAAAGAGTCAACACCAAAACCAGGAAACTCCTGGATCCCCATCCACATTGCTCTACAGAGCTAGACATTTCCTGGGTCACCACTCTGGCCCACGGCCACTCTTCCTCACCAAGCCCCACCCTGAAGGAGACAGAAAGGAAACTCTGCACCTTGCGTCCTTAGTGAGTTTTTTTCTCCTTAAGTTTACAGTTCGAATCTCCCTTTTGCAAAGTAAGAAGTCCACTACTTATTCCTGGACATGGAGAAGAATATTTCTGCTTTGCAGCTGCCTTTTAGGAGGCTAAAATCCTCTTCCTATGATGTCCCACTTCAATCTTTAAATTACCCAGCCCATTTCCTAAACTCTCTCCTCACAGCTCATGTTTTCCATATACTCTCGTTGCCTCTGACGGAAGCTCACGCTAGTGCCTGCAGCTCAGAGGGGCACCTGAACTGAGTCCCCATGCGATACTGGCATCGCTGCTATTATTGTTGCTTTGCTGTGAATTCAGTCAGAAAACATTATCTATCCTGCTGCCCTACTTTCTCCAAGGAGGTGGAAGATAAGAATATACCTTGAGGAATCTTGTAAGTGACTTCCCCGGGTTTCCTCAGCTGGCGCAGCAGGAGATCGCTGTGAATGTTAATTCCCATCCCCAGCAGAAATAAGAGGAGGCCTAAGAAACAAACAAGAAATGGATTAGAGACACAGCTCTGCCTAGTTATCCCTACTCAAGCACGTATGTCAGGTTTATCTTTGGAGCAGGCAGATAGGAGACCTAACGTGAGGTGGGTGGTTTCTTTTTCAAGTCAAAAGATGCGCTGCTGCTGAGAAGGCTCCTGAACTGGAGAAGCACAGCTGACTGGTGACAAATAATCCTATATCTCTGTGTCAGGTGTTGAACCACCTGCACTGGGTAGCTTCAGTGTGGAGAGCAACTCCAGACAGAACAATGACCATCCTGAGCACAATTTTGTCGGCGAGACCAGAGCACTTTCAGGCGGTGTGAGAAAAAAGCTGAACTTCCCAGCTGGCCATAGTCACCACTTACTGAACATCAAGGTGGGGACAAAGTACCCAGCGGCCACTGCTGGCCGAAGGCAAGCAACCAAACCTT